AGTCGAGTAAAAATCATAAAATCGTTATAACTTTACGTTCGATATAACTTTTCTATCTTAAATTTTTGTTTGTTCATTTAGTAATAATAGAATGTACTATTGTAATTAATAGGCGTTGTCCACAAACTACGTCGCGCAATAAATTTTTCTATACTTCGATTAAATCGACTTTTAGTCAACTTAGTCGATTTCAAAAATGTAAATTATCGATTTTAGTCGACTTTAGAAAATACATTTGTCAATTTTGTCGACAGTCAAATTTTTTAATAGTCGTAATAACACTAATTTTTTATGCTGATTTTGTTGCTATGACAGTAGTAGGAGAAGGAAATTATTAGTCAAACAGGACTAATAATTTTCTGATCAGTTAAAAAATGCTGATGTTATACTTATTGATAAAAAAGGTTCAAAAGTAGACAAAAATTTCCTAATGCATTCCGCATACATTGCTTATCGCTACCCAGGGAGCACAGAAAATCCGCTGAACGTCTAAAAACCTCCTACGAACTTGTAATGTCCGTAAAACGTCGTATAGATTTCCCACTGGCGTTTTTGCAAGTTGGGTAAATTAAATGCTTATTGTTTCAGCAGATGCATTTATTATATAACGAAAACCTTTGTTTAATGCATTTATTAAATCTCATTTTTTGTATTGTCCATTAATTTGGATTTTTCATAGTAAAAAAGCTAAACAATTGTATAACTCGCATCCACGAAAGAGCTCTTAGAATTGTATATTAAACTGCCAAACTTCTTATAATGATTTGCTAATAAAAAGTGCTCCGTTACATCGTAAAAATTTACTTGTTTTTGTAACCAAAATAAAGCAGCCGTGGCGCAGTTGTTAGAGCCTTTTTTTAAAAAGCAAGAGGGTTTTTGATTTTATGGCAAAAAGGAGCAATAAGATTGTTATTAATTCGAAAATATATTTATATATTTGTGTTTAGGTTTCATACAATAAATATTTTGTAATACATTTGGCGACAAATTTTCTTTACATTTACACATTGAAGCATAAAATATTAAAGATATTTAGTTGATATACATTTAAAAACATACATTTATTTAAAAAGTTGTTTCGTATGAAAAAAACGATAAATTTTTTTTTTAATTATAGAATTTGCGCAATAAATTTTAAATTGATAAGTTTAAATTTTATTTAGCGAGCTGTGTGTTTCTGATGAGCGTTATAAGATTTTAACTTTGTTCTATGAGTGTTCCCCACATAGTTTTTGTTCTATGAGTGTTCCCCATATAATATTTGCATAGTTTATATGACAATGTATTAATGAATAATATAATTGTGTTAACTGGTGTTTACCTAATATATTTCTTGCTTTATAGAGAATTGATTTAGCAATTTTATTTGAGGTTTTATCAAAATGATATTAAATACAATTTTGCAATTAATGACTGCGATAGCTTCTTCTGCAGGAGTTGAACATATTTTTTTTCCTTTCGGCTTGGTACATTCTAATTGAGAAATAGACTGGGGACGGAAAAGGCTGTTTCTCTTCAAGGCAGTTAAACAGCAGAAAACTATTTAATTTGATGTTGATACTTAATACTGTATACAGGAGATTTCTTGGTTTTAAATGATAATTATGTTGTTAATTGATTTGTTTTGTGTACAATAGTATTTTGTTCTTTGATATATTTTAAGTCATTAGTTCTATTAACACATAATTCTGCCATATTTATTTTATTTTGTTTTGAAATATGACAAAAAAAAAAAAAGATTTTAAATGATTGTTATTATCAAAATCAAACATAAAAGAAAAATTTGATTTAAATCATTAGTCATCCAAAAAAAATCATTTGATTTAAATCTTGATTTAAACCGATGCATCGGTTTAAATCACAGTGAAACGTTTCATACAATCTAGCTGGACAAAAATATTTTGTTTACGAATTCCATTGTTCTAGCCATAAATGGTTTTAATAAACAATGTTTTGTTGTTTTATTGAATAATCACCCTGGTTTTAATAACTTAAAAGTTTTTTTTTGCGCAGGGTAGAGGAAAAACCCCTTGCCTACAACCCCCTCCCCTCCCGCCCCATTCTCCCTCATTGCAACAACCACTGTTATAATAAAAAAATGAAGTAAATATATTTATGAAACAAGAATACATAATATTATACAATAAATTTTATATTTAGTTATCAAAAAACTCGTCGTTTATATCCACCAAACACTCATCACTTGAATCGTCAGATGACTCATCATTCGATTCATCGGACAAGTTACAATTTCCTATTATTGGAGCCAAAAAAATCAAATTCAAAACCTCTACTGGTAATTTGCTTCTTTTTGCAGGCAGTTCTCTAAGTAAATTGATAACAGGATCAGATGTTATTAAGAGCATATTCAGCAAATCCATATTTGAAGAAATACGTGACTTTTTCCTAGTGTAATATTCTCGAAATCTCCTACAATCTTTGTTTCGTGCTTCTAGAGATTCTTCTGAAAGCTGGCCAATCGGAAGAATACACGACTTTTTAACATCCGTGCTGTGCAATAAAACTTTATGCATTGTAACATGCATGTAATACCACGAATATAAATGTAAATATAAAGTCCATGTTTCAGAACAAAGTTTTTCAAACTTGACACAATCAATGTCATGGTCAGAAGATAGCGGTCTTAACAAAACACTAAATTTTTTAATTAATTCAACGTCTAATCCTGTAATCTCTCCACTCTTTTGTGGGTTTTAAAAAAAAACCTGCAAGTTGTGTTACCATTATTTGTATTGTCATAATGAGGCTTCGGTCTATCTACAATAAGTCCCATTTGTTTTCACTTTTGCCTATTTCTGATATGACATTTATCCTCCTTGCCTTTAACTTGCCACTTTTTAATGTCTAAACGGTAGCTAATGTGTAGCAGGCAAAAGTACAAGCATGCAAGATAGAAAAACCGAAAATTGTAATTTTCTTTTTTATTAATTATACCTTTTAATTCACCATTCATCATTTTTAAAGTAGCACCGCAAATATAACATTTTTGTGTGGAGCGCGTATCATTTAAAGCATTGCATACTTTTCCGTCTGTCATTATAAGTATCAGACATTACACAATGTTGAAAGAAGTTCAGATATTTCTTTTAAAACGTTGTCAGTTTCTATTACAGTAAATTCCTGTGTTTCTTTTGAAAATATGAATTTAATTGGTCGGCGATAAAGTGTTGACGATGGCCGAGGATTTTGCCAAGTAACAGTATTAGAGTCATCACTCAATCTCAACGGAACAAACGCAAAGACAAACAGAAAATCATCATTAGGATCGGAGTTCTCAAATCTTTGTTTATAGGTATTGTGGCCAGAACTTCCGTCACATCCCTATTTGCATATTAATGTAAGCGACAAATTAGAGGATGCATTTTTGGGAAATTGACATAGTGTTTCAATTAAACGTTCAGTTGTTTTGTTCAATATGGCTTGAATTTTAATTTCAGCTCGTGTTTTTGAAATAAATTCTTCTGGAGGGTAACACAACCTTTTGGATTTACATAAATTAAAGTTAGACGGAAACACTTCGTGCCCTGCTTTCATTGACCATTTTCTTGTTTGTTTATAAGAGTGACTAGTGCACTTGGAGTCTACATAATAAGCAAGTGCCTCATCGCTACTCAACTGTCTGATACCACAAATAACATCTGTAGATTTTCTATAATAACATCTGTAGATTTTATCTGTAAGGTTTCTGTACTTTTTCTAATAGATGTAGCTACGTTTCTTTGACCCGACAAACGATGTGCTATTTCAGCAGCCGCTGTTATTATATTGGCACTCCACGATTGTTATAAGTCTTGAACTCTACGTCTTTTGGTTTTTAAAGATGAGTCTTTTTCTTTGACCGACCTTGAGGCCGACTTCCTTCAGATGTTGTAGAAGTACAGGACCGATAAAAATTTATTTTAAATTCTAAAATATTGCCCTCTAACCAAATTTTATTTTTATTTAAAAAATGATCCATATTTTTATTGGCTGCATTCCGCTTTTGCGCAAACTTAGCGGATATGCTTGCCATTTTTAACTGTATTTTTTTTTTCGAATCATTAGTAACATTTTCTGTAGTATAGTCTTTCAAAATAAATTCAAACAAAAGAGAATTTCGTTCTTCCTTTGCATGTTTTTGCCATTCTTCAAATAACTCCAATTTTGTAATAGAATATACTCGGTCTGAAAAAATTCAATAAAAATGAAACGGGGAGACACGAAAATTAAAAAACGAAAAAAGAAATTGCAGTTTTAACATAGTTTTTTTAAAGCTACAGAATATCATCTATGACAATTATTTAAAATAAGTTTTAGATAACATACAAACTACATACCCTCTAATGTAAAATTCATCACAGCAGAGTTAGTTATTATTTACAATAAATCAGTTATACGTTATTGTTACACAGCAAAATTACAGCTAATTTTTTTACAAAAATATGTTTATCTTTAAGTGACATTTAAGCGCAAATGATTTAACACTTAAAAACGCGTACACTAATTAATATTTTGAATTTTTCTCTAGGGAGTATTCAGTAATATTATGGAGGTATCTACTAATTGATTCCTTGAATTGACTTTTGTCCAGCTAGATTGTATGAGCCGATTCACTGTGCGATGTGATTAAAATCGGCCACCCCTGAATTGCTCTGATTTTTGTTGTGCAGAAGAAAATGCGGGAAATCACGACAATTGCGGGAAAAAGGGACAGATTTTGTTTTTATTTGTCGTCATTTTTGTCGTTGCTTGTTATTTTCGCTGTTGTTATTTTCGCTGTTTTGTTGTTGTTCCTATTGTTGTTGTTGTTGTTGCTGCTGTTGTTATTATTGTTGTTGTTGTTTTTGTTTTTTTTGATTTTGCTGTTGCTGCTGCTATTGCAGTTGTTTTTATTATTGCTGCTACTTTTATTGTTAATGTAATTGTTGCTCTTGTTGTTATTTTTATAGTTTTTTTTGTTTTTATCGACAACAATATATATTTTTCGTCGTTGTTTTGTTTTTATTTTTTTAGAAAAAGTCTTTATAATAAGTCATACAATTATCTCGAGTTAAGAAAATCAATCGTTGATGATGGATTTATATTACTTCTTGCAATACATTATTTTAATGTCCTTTCTTTTCAATTTTACAAATAATCAGTTTTTAAAAAAATGCTCTTGGAACATAGATACTAATGTTTTTATAGACGAATGGATTAGAACTGGACAGCTCTATTCATATTGTATGCAGGTAAGTTCTTTTTAATTAACGCTAAATATGAAAATTTTAAAAATATTGAAGGTGATCATTATTTTTTTAGGAAAAATAAATAAATATAATAGTTAAACTGTATTGTTAAAATTTTTAACAATACAATTTTTACCAAAAAAATTTTTTAATGAAAACTTTTTTTTGGTACTAATTTGAAGGAAGCAATGCATAGCATTTTAAAGTTTAAATATGTTACTCTGTTTTAAATATGTTACTCTGTTTTAAAGTTTAAATGTGTTACTCTGTTTTAAAGTTTAAATGTGTTACTATGTTTTAAAGTTTAAATATGTGTTACTCTGTTTTAAAGTTTAAATGTGTTACTCTGTTTTAAAGTTTAAATGTGTTACTATGTTTTAAAGTTTAAATATGATACTCTGTTTTAAAGTTTAAATATGTTACTCTATTTTAAAGTTTAAATATGTTATTCTGCTTTAAAGTTTAAATATGTTACTCTATTTTAAAGTTTAAATATGTTATTCTGCTTTAAAGTTTAAATGTGTTACTCTGTTTTAAAGTTTAAATGTGTTACTATGTTTTAAAGTTTAAATATGTTTCTCTGTTTTAAAGTTTAAATATGTTACTCTGTTTTAAAGTTTAAATATGTTACTCTATTTTAAAGTTTAAATATGTTATTCTGCTTTAAAGTTTAAATATGTTATTCTGTTTTAAAGTTTAAATATGTTACTCTGTTTTAAAGTTTAAATTTGTTACTCTGTTTTAAAGTTTAAATATGTTACTCTGTTTTAAAGTTTAAATATGTTACTCTGTTTTAAAGTTTAAATTTGTTACTCTGTTTTAAAGTTTAAATATGTTATTCTGTTTTAAAGTTTAAATATGTTACTCTGTTTTAAAGTTTAAATGTGTATCTCTGTTTTAAAGTTTAAATGTGTTACTCTGTTTTAAAGTTTAAATTTGTTACTCTGTTTTAAAGTTTAAATGTGTTACTCTGTTTTAAAGTTTAAATATGTTACTCTGTTTTAAAGTTTAAATGTGTTACTCTGTTTTAAAGTTTAAATATGTTATTCTTTTTAAAGTTTAAATATGTTACTCTGTTTTAAAGTTTAAATATGTTACTCTGTTTTAAAGTTTAAATGTGTTACTCTGTTTTAAAGTTTAAATATGTTACTCTGTTTTAAAGTTTAAATGTTACTCTATTTTAAAGTTTAAATATGTTACTCTGTTTTAAAGTTTATATATGTTACTTTGTTTTAAAGTTTAAATATGTTACTCAGTTTTAAAGTCTAAATGTTACTCTATTTTAAAGTTTAAATATGTTATTTTGCTTTAAAGTTTAAATATGTTACTCTATTTTAAAGTTTAAATATGTTACTCTGTTTAAAGTATATTGTTATAAGTACAAGTATTAAATTTTTATGTATTATCATAAATTATAAGTAATAAAAGTTTGTAGTAAAAACGTTAAAAAAAAAAAAGTTTGTCACTTGTTACAATGGTAGCAAAAATGCAGGTTTCTTTTTTCAAAATATCTTTTGAATGCATCATAAAACATTTAATCAAAAAATTATAGTCACTTGTTTTGACAGTTATTAAAAATGTTTGTTTTTTAAAATTTATTCAATGTGTTTTATTTAATGTTATCATTTTGCATTGTCAATTAAGTGTTAAGTTCTAAAATCTGCAAGTGACATAATAAACTCAAGTTTTATGTTATATTTAATTTCTACCACTTAATGTAGCTATGTGTTTAAAAGTTTTAAATTGTTCAAATATTATAATGTTATATGTCATCAGAAAGAAGATCAATACAGTTTTTATAAGGTAAAAAAAGGAAAGTTGATTAATTTCTTACAAATTTATGAGAATTTAAGTACCATTTTTTTTGATATATGGATTTGTTGAAGAAACTGCAGTCAAAATAAAGTTTTCTCTTGACTAAAATTGTCATAACTTTGTCAATTTTTAAATGAAAATAACTTGGTATCAATAGATAGGTGTAAAAGTGGGCTACAAAAATATATTGAGGGATAGTTGCCGGTAATGTTCAGGAAAAAAAAATGGTAAGAAGCTAAACACTTTTCTCATAAAAAACTTTTTTTAAAAGAAATTAGTAATATTAATAAGCAAAAAGTAAAAATAATTTAATAGTAGAATACTATTAAATTATTATATAGTAGAATATTAATTTTAAATAATATAATTTATAGTAGAAATATAATTTTATAGTAGAATATTAATGTGTATGAGAGGTGAATACTAGTACAACGCCCTCTAGTATCAAAAGTAGATTGTTTTTATATATTTTATTATCATTAGTAACATCAGCAAAATTGGTATACAATATAAAAACAATGTATTAAATCATATATAAAAGATATTTACATTTATTTTTTTACATTTATTTGAAAAGGATGTATTCTGTTAATTCACCACCCTCCTTCTTGCCTAAAATTAATTCTTGAAAAAAATTCAAAAAATGTTATAAAATGAATTTTTAAATTAACTGGATATGCGGTACTCAAATATTCAAAAGTAATAATGTAATTATAAATTAGTAGCAGTACAAAATGTGCTATATCACATTAATTGACCATTTAACTACATTTAACTAGATTACTTAATTGTCAAGTGGTCCTTTGACAATTAGTTATTCTGGTCATCTTCTGGATAGAGAATAAGCATTAAAGTAAGCAAGTTTTTTGCTGTTTCGTAAAAGCTTGACAAAAAATAGCATCAGCACAAAAGTTATTGACAAGGTCATATCTGCATACTTTTGAATTTGGAAAATTATAGTTACTTTACAGCAGCCCTGAAGTTTTTAATGACAATGATGCTGTAGATATACTGCTAAAGCATTTTTATATAAAGTTTCATTCTTATTGACAATGTATTTATTTACAAAGTTGTCTGAGCTTTTGATATCTCATAACTCATGCTTATTTCGCACATTTATTTCACGAGATTGCACAAGAACAATTGATGAGCCATCATAACAAATATAATTTTTTTCATTAGTTTGTCTACTGCACAAGTTAGAGAGATTGGTCTATACTTACCTGAATCTGTTCATTAATTTTTTTTGAACTTGGTGTAATTTTTGATTGTTTCCAACAAGGCCTAATTCTAATTAGGCCTAGTCCAGCCCTTAGAATTAGGTTTGGCATTCTGCAATGCCGACTTAACTGCTGACCGAAAGGTTTGAGATTATCAAAAAATTGCCGACCTCGTTTCTATGTTTTATGGTAAAAGCTTTGAATCAAAATTTTTTTGCTGACCTGATGCCGACCTCTAAAAGATTAGGGTTGGCAAATTATTGCGGACCTCATTTTTCCTAATTCCTAGGGCTGTCTAATCTCTAATTTGAATTGGGCCCATCCATCAATAAGCACCTCAGCAATAACACAGTACCTATTTAACAAATCTGTTCTGGTGATGGAGATTGTGCAAAAACAGATGGTCAGCCATCATATAAAATAAAATTTTCTCCATTAGTTAGTATACTACAAAGGTCTGATAGATTATTTAAATATCTAAAGTCAGAGAGCTTGTGCAGGTTCGCTTAGCAATGAATTGTCCATTAAGAGACCTGTAAGTTAAATTGAATGATTCAAAACACTTATCAGTCCACTTTTTTTTAGACATTACTGCCCAATCCAATTCATCAAGAACTTTGCTAAAGGCATTGCTAAAATCATATTTATCATAAATGAAATTTGTTTTATGAATTGATTCAAGAAGATAGTCTGAATCCCATAGTTATGAACAATGAAAGTGATTTTTAGCTGTAGAGCAACAGTGGGCTCAACAACAACATATATCATTTTTTAATGTGCATTTAACAATAACCAATAATATATAATTTTTAATAACTTATTATTAAATATTTGGCATTGGTGTTCGACCGTGCACTGTGGTTTGATTAAAATGATGATTCATTTTAGCCATTTTAAATTGAAATTAACTAGATATACCACCTTTCCATGTAGCCATAAATCAAGTACACCTCCACCATATATTTAATATGATATTATTATTTTTAACGGTATAAAAAAATTGTCAAAACAACTTAAATTTTGAAAGACATCATTAAAGAGTTTAATATTTGATTAGATACAAACTTCTATTATGGATTAATTTATTTTTTGAGTTAATTTTTTTACAATATTTCAAGGGAGTATAAATACACCCTCGTTGTCAAGTATATATATATATATATATATATATATATATATATATATATATATATATATATATATATATATATATATATATACATATACATATATATATATATATACACACATATATATATATATATATATATATATATATATATAATATATATATATATATATATATATATATATATATATATATATATATATATATATATATATATATATATATATATATATATATATATATATATATATATATATATATATATATATATATATATATATATATATATATATATATATATATATATATATATATAATCGTTAAAAACAAAATGAAAACAAAAACAAATCAATAGATTCTTTTGATGGAAATAGCACACTAAACTTTCTTGACTTAACTATTATCAGTGCTTTTTTTCTTTTACAATGCACCAGAACGACGGTCTGGAACCTTTTTTTTTCTGACGTTCTAGAAATTTTTTTTGTCCAAATATCAATTCCACAAGCATTTGCGTTTCTAAGAAATTCTATGGTTCATTCTATAAATCACCAATTTCTTCTCGGTTGACTCTCTGGTTAATAGAAACACAAGAAATCGAAAAAATCTGTAAAAGAAACACAAGAAATCGAAACTTTTCCCACATCAACATCAGATTTTTATACCAACTAGTTGACTATACAGAGTCAGACATTAAACTGGTCGGAGAAACAAAAATGTGTATTGACCTTTTACAGATATGTTATATTATATTCCAAGTAAATCAACCAAATCTGAAGCAATTTTATTTATTAAACTTATTTTCACTTCTTTTCATTGTAATTTTCCCCACACAACGTCAG